AGAACCTTTTTAATCTTCTTCAACTCGTTCTTCACAAAAGTGACAATGTTTTCCTCCAGCAGCTGGAATAGAATAATAGATGGACACATGGGACTGAAATCATGGAGCCAAACACCAGATGGACGTTGGACAGACTGACAGTCCTCTGGTCTACAAAGTGCAGCATGAAGGTGACTTTGAACAGAACTAATGGAAAAGTATTTGTTGTTCATTTACAAACCATAAATAGGGAGTCCAACTGTGTTTGATGCTGCTGGACAGATGGACCACTGGGAACCTCTGAGCTCTGCTGGTCCACTCTGTGGAGGAACCAGGAACAATTAGGAAGTCAGGAAATATTCATCCAGCAGTTTTCACAGAGGAAATCACCAAGAGTTTCACATTAAAAGTCCTTAATATAGTAAAAATATCATCACACAAACACAATTCAAAGTGAGGAAGAGGAAAATTATCTACACTGATGAATACCAGTAACACCAGAATAATCCAGTAACCATTTTAAAATGTTGATTTTGAACCTGGACTTCAAACAGTGCACACAATCATTAGATCTGATGCTGGTGGAGACAGTTTTCCAGAGTTTGGGGACAGTGGAAGGGAAGGCTCTGTCCACACAAGTCTTCAGGACAGTGTGGGACATCTATCAAGTTTTGATGACTAGATCTGAGGTGATGTGGATAATAAGGAGGACTGAAATATGTGGGTTTGTCCATGTGGGATCCTCGACTGGATGTTGTAGAGAGGATTTTAAAAGAATCCTGTAGATCCCTGGAAGCCAGTGAGCTCACATTGTATCTGTCCACACAGAGACAATCAAAGGTCCATGAAGTGATATCTGGATGTGAGCAGTGAACCAGGTGATCTAAGTAGTTGTAAAGATTTAATGTTCCTGCTGATCCCATTAAGAACCAGCAGAACCTCTGATGGTCCACATCAGCTCAGTTTGGTTGAGTTCCAGCAGATCTCACCAACCACATCATGAAGCTTTCCTTCCATGCTGAACTGCTCTCACAATGCACACAGGAACCAAGTCCTGATGGACCAGAATGGCTTTACCAGGTATTTCCCAGTGGAAATGTGATCCACTGTTAGTCTGACATGGAGCCAGGAAGCAACAGAACATCATCATCAACATCCAGAGATAAAGATATGAAGGTGTTTTCATGAGAACAGAGCAGCTGATTTCTGTAGATAATGGATCAAACCTCTGGAAATATAACTGGAAACATCTGAGTTCTTACTGGTTCAGTTTCCAGAGTTACAGCAATTAGATACATCTCACCTCTCTGATGGTGGAGATCCAGGAGATTTAAAGTTAATGAAATCTTCCTTTGACCAGTCACTCTTTAAGGACACACAGCTGGGTTCTGGTTCTGGTTCAGGTTCTGGTTTGAGTCTCTGATGGATCCTGACAGAAACATGATGATTAAAACTTAATCATCAAAGAGAAGCAGCAGCAGCTTCATCACCACGTCTGTTCTGGCCTGATATAGTGAACGCTGTGTGAAAAGGGCTGTGGACAGTTAGAGATGGTGACCTCACCTCTGACCTTTGCTCTGGCTCTCATCTTCCCCACACAGAGTGGTTTTAGAGGGAGGGACTCCCTCCTCTCTGTCCTCACACTGATCCATGCTGCTGAATCCACATCAGCTCACACACACTTTCTAGCTTCACCTGCAGAGGAAACACACATCATTCATCTGCACATCAACTCTGATCATCCTTTACATCATTAGTGCTGGAAAAAGATCAGCTGCTCCTCTCTGATTGGCTCTTCTTCTCTGCTTCATATCAGTGTCAGGTGAATGCAGTCAGACAGCAGAGAGGCAGAGGAAGCTGCCATCAGCTGCTGCACTTCTACTATCACTCCACTAGATGGAGACATGGAGCAACATTTACATTCACTGATTCAACCTGAACAACAGGAAGTGTTTTCTGCTCCTTCAAAGATTAACTATTTCATAATCTGACTGAGAAATTGTTTTTTCTGACTTTAATGGTGGAGACCAGAGTTTGATTCCAGGAAATAAAACCAAGAATCAGTTTGTTCAGAGAAGAAAATAAAGAAAATCAGATGTCAAACGGCAGAGATTTTAGTTTTTCAGCTGAAATCAGAAGTGAACATTTTCTCCAAACATCAAAGTTCAAGTAGGAAACAAAGCAAACTTACAGTTTGTTCAAATGTTCCAAAGAGTTGATGAAGAAAATCTGAACAACAAGCTGAGACCCAACAGAACCACGGTAGATCCAAATAAACAGGTTAGTTTAAACTGAAAGTGTTATGAGGGGAAATGAGCCCAGACTGGTCTGACTGGTCTGACTGGTCTGACTGACTGGGAGTCAGAGGAAAGTTATTCTGTTGACGTCTGAAGACAGGATCACTTCTCATAAATCTGGATCTGCTGTTATTCTGCTGATCCAGGTTCTGTTCAACACCAATTGAACCAGAACCTTTTTTAACTTGGAACCAACTGATCTCTTCATTAATGGGGATTTGTCTCCCCCTGGTGGTAAAACTATTACCTGCGTATTGTCTGGTTATTAATATCATGACGTGTTTTTACACGTTATGATATTAATGTCATGACGTTAATATCCAAAAGCTCTGTTTTGGATTACAGAGCTGTAATCCAAAAATTAAGAGACCACTTAAAATGATCAGTTTCTGTGATCTTATTTTTTTAGGCATCTATTTGAGTAAAATGAACAATGTTCTCGTTTTCTATGAAGTATTGACAACATGTCTGACATTCCAAGCAAAATGTATTTGCAGAAAATGAGAAATGGTGAAAATAATAATAAAGTTGAAGCGCTTTTAAACCACAAATAATCTAAAGAAAACAAGTTAATTTAGAAAAATACTGATATTTTAACTCAGAAGTTCAGAAATCATTTGGTGAATAACCAGGTTGTCAATGAGGTTCTCAGTGGCCTCCATTTTTTTTATTTTTCAGAGCTGGATGACCACAACAGTAAAACGTGATCAGAACCAGAACCAGTTCTAAGGTTTCATTTATCAGGACATGAATGACTTTAGGTTTGTTTGTTTCTGCTCACCTGGAGCACCAGCCGGGTGGAGTCAGTCTGAATTCCTTCATCTAAAGAGAACATTGAAGATCCTCCTGGAACAAATGGAGCTTTGGAAAGAAATCAGCAGGAAGTGAAAGAAAAATGAATCTTCATCACTTGTGAAGTGAACGACATCAGAGTTGGATTCATTGGAGTCACATGAAGAACAGAAAACTGAGGCTGGAATAATAAACATCATGTTAAATATTAGCTTATATTGCTCTCAGTGAACTTTATTTGCTGGACTTTGATGAGAATAAATAAAATCTATGATAATCCTGATGTTACTATGAAGGAGTGTTTCTTCATCCAGTCATTTATTAAACTGCCTGATTCTGTCTCCCATTAAGCTCCACTGGCACATCAATATGTGACTGAACAGTTCAGTCAGTTTAGCTCATTTTAGCAGAAACTGAAGGTAACAGACTGTGGGATAAATTGAGTTAGGCTCATATGAACATTCATGGTTTGTCTGCACCAAAGCAATGTTAGAGTGGGAGATCCTGGATGTGGGGTGAGGGAGGTAAACTGGGTTACTGCTGACCAGCAACTCCTTCCCATTTCCTTAAACTACATCCACCTGCAGGAACAAGGAATGTGGCTTTTTGTCCACATCTGAAGCAGTGCTGACAGATATCACCCTGCATGCTTGGAATCCTTTAGTCCTCACAGATCTGCCATTAAACTGTAGATATGTTTAGAACTGCAAAGTGATCATTTATTGTAGCTGTCCCCACTAAGGAACCTGAATTATGTGGAAACCTTAAATGTATGGATTTCATTGCAGGATGATGCAAATGCCCAAGAGAACAAATGCAGAAAATGCTTTTCAATCTGTACCATTATAAATGGTATAAATTGCTTTGCAGATCAGACATCAACTCCAACAGGGGATGGATGGACAAGAATTTTCCTTCCAAACATGAAAATATTTAGTTTTTACTTTAGACCTGGAAATGTAAATTTGCATAATATTTTCAGAATCATAAGTAGATCTGGTAAGGAAGTAAACCAGAGAGCCCTCATGATGCAACTTGTGTATTTGACCCATTTCACTCAAATTAAAAACATTCAAAGGGATTTTTTAACACTGATGTTTTAATTCAAAATTTCTTTATGAATCAGTTCCTTCAGATACACATTTCATTCTCCTTCACTGTACAAGGCTATAAAAAGTTCACAGCAACAGCACAAACATACAAAATAGTAATTTTTACCAAATTCATGTTTTTCCTCCTCTGCTCTCCTTAAATACATCTGAACTCTGGTGAGGAACCAGCCATAGCAAAAAGATTCAAGTCAGTGTTTACAATCTTATTTACAGAGAACATTGATCAAAGTGCATTGAAGAGAGTCCTGATTTACAGTCACGTCTCTGAGGGAGGAAATATATTTACACTGTTTACAAACGCTGCAACCATGGTGATCTCAGCAGCAGCATAATAATAATGCAATTAACAGAAGAAACCTTAATGTCAGTCAGCAAAGCATGATCAGAAATATTAACAATCTGTTTCATAATTAAATACTTTTAGTCTCCAGACTTGTTCCCCGTTGAGACCTGAGAACTTTGACCCGGTTTGAATCGGAACCAGGAAACGGGTTGATGAAGACGCCTGTTCTTCAGAGGTTCAGTCCAGGCTGGACATGAAAGACCCTCAAAGACAAACTGTTCTCTGAACAGACGGCAAAGACGACGTCGCAAAAGCAAGAATAAAAATTCCTCAACACTGTGGAGTGAATGTGGAAAACTCATGGAAGTATTCACATAATAAATAACATTTCCTCTTCACCACAGATCAGGACTTAATGCACTTCTGAAGGCATGTGGTTGAACTGTAAGGTCCGCCGTTACGGCGAACCGTTGGCATCGTAACACGGAGGAGGTTTCCGCAAGGAGAAGAAATAAAAAACCAAAATCCTGAGATCGATCAGGATAAATCATCGTCTGTGCTCACTATGGAAATCTGTCAACAGAAACAGAGGAAGGAAAAGATGGGATTTTATGTAACTGAGGAAATGGCAGCATTTTCAACCACATCTCAAAATATTGACTTGAAGATTTCCAAATATCAGATTTCAAAAATTAAACTCACCGCTGGGTAGGTGTGGCCCACGTTGGCGCCGTGGCGGGTGATGTCGATGTTGAGGTCTTCTTCTGTGGTTTTCAGGTAGACTGGGTTGTCAAAGTTCATGCTCTTCTGGTTCTTCATCTGCCAGTTCCTCCACATCAGGTAGGCGCCCGCTCCGGCCATGGCCAGCAGCACTGCAGCAGAGACACAGGCTGCTGGGAAACAGATTTGACCTCATGTTTGACCTCAGAGGAGGAGGCAGAGGCACTTACAGACAGGTAGGATGGCCCAGGCAGCAGCAGAGCCTCTGGCTGTGGAGTCCACCCGGATGTGCTCACATTGGCTTCTGGAAGAGACGACAAAATCAGTAACTTCCATAAACCTTAAAGAGTTTAGGATAGGGTCATGTCTACACAAAACCTGCAAAACTCAATCTTGGATAATGTTCAAGTCTGCTTAGTTCAGTGAGCCGTTTTTAAGACTTCTTGCCACCAATTCCAAAATAAAATCTAAACAGAATTCACCACTGTTACAATTGTATAGCTTTGAAAAGTAGAAGTGGAGCCTCCTGCAGAAACAAGCAGCAAGTGGTTTCTAGATTCCTGTAGTCTTTTCCAGCAGCCATTGTACAGTGCAAACAGCAGTAAAACCTGCTGGATGTTTCATTTGGAGGGTTTTTATAAGGCTCATTTTCTGAAGCAGAAAATATTGCCAAATATCAGCTTGGTGTAAATCTAAAGCTCTCAATCAAAACGAGCTTCAGCGAATTCCTGCATTAATCTTTACAAATGCAGAATAGGGGGTAAAAAAAGGTTCCAATAGCAAAACTAAAAATCTTCCAGCAGGTTTTGAGGTTTGTAAACTACGTCAGGCAAGAATGTGGTTTTGTTTGAGCCAAATATTGCATGTGTATTTCCCATTTTCTACCACTAGATGGCGCTCCTGTACTATTAATTTGTCGGAGCTTTAAACTCTCCAGCAGGCAGAGAGGTGATGACTGAACGTCACATGGGATTGTTCAGCATTTAGCAACAAGTCACAGGGATTCCTCATGTTTCTGATTAAGATCAAAATTACTTCAGTAAAAAATAAACAGGAATTTAAGTTCTTCCAAGAGTTTCCATTTGAAATGTCCAACTGAACATTTATAATCTCAGCTGGATTAGAAGATTTGAGGAATTACAGGTTAATTTCAGCTCTTAGATTCAGATCAGGACCAAAGCAGCAGAAGTTTCAGTTAAAGCAGAGAAGGTTAAATCAGAAAATCTTTGCCAGGAGGAGAAAAACTGGAGCTACTTGATTTGAGAGCCCAGCATGCTGAGATGACGGCATTAGGTTTTACCTTTAGGCTGCGTTACAGCTTCACTACCGTCTCACAGGAAGAGTCTGTCACTAGAAGAGCAACAACAAACCTTAAGCATTCAAGTCGTCCCATTTCTGAGTTCTCTTTGAATGTAGACCAGATCTCTGGAGAGTAAACTGGTTTATCTGATGCAAATCAAGAGGATGGGAGAGTCGCTGCAATCTGCATGAATGGTTTCACCATCCTGTAATAAACGACTCACACTGGGAAGTCTGGTCCTTTTGCCTGGAAAGGCCAGTTCATGTGGGGAGGTGTGAATGTGGAACTGAACTCTGGTCCACCTACAAACATCGGCCTGTTTGGTTGAAGTGAAGGCTGGTGCAGTTTGAATGCATATGAACGAACCACAGATTGTTCCTAAAGCAGGAAGTGAACTACAGCGTAGGGCATTCTGGGTAAATACAGTGAAACAAATGCTAGCTAGTTTAGTGCTAACGGGAGAAATGGCTTGAGGTCTTTTGCCAAAGACAAAATAAAACTAAAATCTGATGTCACTTTTTGTGATGAAGGTTATTTATAGTAATTTATTGACTATACTGGAGCCTTTGGTCTTACTGCACAAGGATCAGAGGCGTCCTCACACTGTGTGCATAAACTTCTATTTGAGTTCTGCAGCCAAATCTGGATTCCTAATGTAGAACAAATTGCAGGGTCCATTTTGTTAGATAATGCCACATACAGCATATTATTAGGCTCTGAAAACAGTCAGTAATGATCATATTCCTGTGAATTATCACAAATATCAAGAAGCTGCTGACATTTCTGAGGAGCTTTGAGTTTCTCGGTTCTGATCAGTCATTCAGTGAAGAGGAAAATAAAAAGCTTTCTTCATGAAATGTAAACAAATCTCCCCACTCAAAGCATTATGGGATTTCAAGTTTCTCATTGTAAGCAATGAGAAACTGAAACGTCTATGATTTCAGCTCCAACTGGAGGAAAAACCTCCACTGATCTGTAACGGCGTGAACAATAAAGAAAAATGGAAGCAAACTCAGAAGATCAAGGATGCAGTCGAGCTGGGTGATAAAATTTAGTTTTTAAGGTTTGATATCTGAAAGATATGGATTCCCCCTGTTCTGTTGGGTTTTTTGAACCGACAACCTCAGCATGTTTTATACTCCCAGTTAAAACTCTTAATCCTCCACAGATTCTCAGCGTTTCCTGCAGTTTGTTCTGAGCGCCGTCATGAAGACGGTCCAGCGATCCGCGAGTCCCGGCTGGAACCAGAGTCCAATTAGTGCTGCGGATTCAGCTGTCAGGTTTCTGTTGGGTTTGAAAAGGCTAATCTGTGAAAGGAGCGAAGCCGCAGGGAAAAACAAAGCGAGTCTCTAAGCAACCGGTCGTCCAGCAGGAGGGAAAGGCCAGCGCCGCTGCTCTGCCTTCACTCCTGCAACCGCTAATTGTTGCAAACAATCCTGGAGCCGCTGCAAACTGGACCACTGCAGACATTTACCCACAACTTAAAATTCAAGACGCCGCTTCCTTTTCTCCTCTAGAAGCCTTAAAAACAGGCGAGTGGTTCTTACTATATTGAAAACAAAAAGACTTCAGCAGTGGAAAGAGGTTGATGTTGAAAAGCTGCAGCAGCAGCAGAATCAGTGTTTGCATTTCTGTGCAGAGCTCACCGGGTCTGCAGCGCTGGCCGTCTGCTGCCAGCTCCTGGCCTGCAGGACACACGCAGCTGTACTTGGGGGAATGTTTGTTGATCTGTGGAGCAGGAAGACACAAGAAGCTGCAGCCGCCATTTTCACTTTTCTCTGTGCACCAGTTGGTACCTGCAGAAAAACAAAACATGAATAAATCACTGAGTAACTGAAGCCCAAATCAAGCTGGAGAACTTGTTCCACACCAGTTCTGGGTTAAACTGGGTGACCTTTGACCCCTCACCAGCCAGCTGGATCAGCTCATGGTAGACGATGACGTCCTGAGGGTCGTTCAGGTTGCTGGCGAGCGTGACGACATCAGAACCAGAGAACTTGTTGGCGCCGAAGATGGCTTTGTTTTCACCGTCCGTCCAGAAAACCCGATCCTGCCAACAGAACCAAACATGGCCGACTTTTACATACTGATCATTTCAGTAATCAATTATTCTGATCAATGGTAATATTTTTTTTTACAGATTTTTATTTGACTAAATCCTTTTTGTACAATTAGAAATAATTCTGTAAACATTTTATTGCTTAAAACTTTGTATTTGACTGTTATGTTTTATGAAACATTTTGAATTTGCTGAAATGTGCTAAACAAATAAACTTTATTAAAAAGCAGCAGCATTTCTTCAGTAAGTCTAAATGAACGAAAGCTGAAGGCCAAACGAACCTCGAACACGGTGAGAGCGAATGGATGAGCCAGGAAGTCTGCAGACTAAATGAGGCCTAATCGATGTTCTTAGTGACCAGAGGATCAATAAGGCCTTAATCAGCCCAGAGGTTCAAACTGATGAAACATGAGGATGGAGGCTCTATTAAAACATTCCTCACCATCTTCCATGTTCTTTCAGCAAACAGTTGAGACAGAGCTGGTTTTGGTTCCACCACTATTGACCTGCTGCTTTAGCCGCCATTGAAAGTTTTATTAAAAGTCTGTCTGTCAGGATTCCGGTTGTGAGAGCGTGTGCGTGAGAGTGTGAGTGGGAGTGTTACATCTTCTTTCAGCGAGGATCTTCGTGAGGAGCCTGTGGAGCCAGCGCAGGTGACGCTGATTTGCCTCATCAGCGTGCTGGAATAAAGGAGCGGCAGAATCCTCCAGTCATCCCTAGATGGTTAACGCTACCGGTAGTCACTCTGGCCTCACCTGTTGAAAACTTGTTTCTTGAACCTTGTTGTGTAACTCGAAGTTACTTACTCTCCGTATCCTGTTCGTTTCCAGGACTTTTTGTGTTCTCGTTTCAAGAAGCTCCTGAGATTGCCTGCCTGCTCCGCCGTTTCCACTGACTCCATCCTGTTCCAACCACCCGAGCTAACTCCTCGCACTCCCTCCGGCACCGTTGCACACCCTCACGCCGGATCCTGACGCCTCACCCCTAAGCTCTGGAAAATCCGCACCAATGTAAGCCAGCTCCTGATTCCTCCTCCGAACTCGCATTCTGAACCCATTATAATTCAGCTCTCGTTTCAGGCCAACCTGGTCGAGCGACCCTCGCCGCATATCGAAGTCCAGAGGACTGAATTTTATTTGTCCTGTTGTAAATAAATCACTTACCTTTCTATCCAGTGTGTGGTTACTGCATGTGGGTCCGCAAGTTAAATCAAACCATGTCACTGTCAGTCTGCAGATCATGTGACCAAACCAGAAAACACACTGAAAACATAGAGAACAGCAAGAAAAAGGGAAAGTTATCAAAAATTTTCATACTCGAGGAAAGTATGATGTACTCCAAAATATGCTAAAGTAAAGTAGTGAAGTATTTTTACTTTGTTACTATACAACACTGAATCAAATAAATACACCACAAGATTCATTGTATTTCATTGAGATGTTAAGGAACAGACCACCACAAGGTCCAGATCCTTTGTGAAGTCAATGAAGCGATTGATGGTTTTAAATACTTTACAAAAGAAAGTAAAATGCTTTTGTGTGAGTCAACGTGTCTCCTGCATCAGGTAAAGCTGCAAGTCTTTCAGGTTTTGTTTTTACCACCTTTGCACATCTGATAGGCAACATTGTTGCCATTCTTCTTGACAAAACAGAAAAAACAAACTCATCCAGTGTGAATGGAGACTGTCTGTGAGGATCGATTTACAAATCTTTTAAGAGATGCTGAATTGAGGTTTGGATTTTGTCTCTCATTCTAAATCAGGACATGGTTTAAGTAAATGAGTAGTTTTGACT